AGCGGGGACATGGGGATCGTAGTGGGTTGACGGGTGAGGGAGAGATGAGGCATGCACGCTGCATGCTGCCTGTGCATGCGGGCAGCAGCCAAGGACGGCAGGCAGGCAGGAAGCGCTCCGCGCTCCGCTCCAGGCTGAAGCCTGCGCCCTGTCCTCACCTTGTCGACCGCGTCTTTGACCGCCTCCAGCGGGCCGCCACCGCTGGCAGCTGCCGGCTGCTGCGCTGTCGCCTGCTGGGCGGGCGCAGAGGGAGGCGCGCCTGTCGCCGCCTGCCGCTGGCGCAGCCGCTCGAGATCCGCCTGCAGCTGCTGATCCAGCTCTGCAGGCGGACAGCGGGATGTGGGGGTTCAGTGTGAGGCAGCAAGCACGGGCACGCTTTGCACCACAGGGGGGTATACATTGCAAGCACCTTCTTCTGCCGACGCGGCGACGCGGAGGCCCGCCCGCCGCCGCTGCCGCCCGTGCTGCTGCAGGCCTGCTGTGTGCAGCCTGGGCGCGAGCCGATGGCTGCTGCGCGGTGCTGTGGGGCGCTGAGAGGCGCTGGAGGCGCAGGCGACCGTGGTAGACGACAACATAGTGTGGGGAGAGTCTCCTGGGTGCTTGATGTGGAGTTCAGTGCACGTGCCACGCTCTAGGCGGATCGAATTGGGCTTTGCCTTCCACGTGCGGATTGAGAAATGTGTACAGCATGTTGTACCGCGCTTGCCGGCTCCCTGGACGCATTTTGGCCTGCCATCGGCGCCTGCGATACATGCAAAGCCTGGCAGAGCGCCCGGGGTGTCGGGGCGATTCGGACCCTGCTCCCAAAATTGCACATCGGTCCCCGTGCCTGTCTCACTTTTCAAGGGACCCGGCAGGGCTGTGGGAGCTGCAGTACCCGCGTGGCAGCTGGGAAGCACTATCTGGCAGGCCTCACGTGTTGCTCTGAGCCGGTGACCCACGGTGAGGAGAGGTTGCGGGGCGCTCACAAGCCTGGAGATGCCACCTCCAGCCCTGTATTTGGAAATGTGCCGGATGCACGCGGCGGCGGCGGCCTCTGCCCTCCCCGGAGCTGCTCCCTTTCCGTCGCCGCCGCCGTCGATGGCCTTGCACGCCATCCCGTGTCTGACCCGCCACCCTGGTCTGCGCTGTGCTGCGTTGCGCTGCCTGGTGCAGGAGCCAGAATCTAACACACACGAGGCATCCAAGAAGCAGCAGGCGGGCGGCAGCATGTCACTACAGCCTGTCGAGGAGCCGCCCAAGCGGCGCTCCACGCTGCTGACAGGTGCAGCGGCGTTGCCCACAGCCTCGTGTGTAGGGACTGCGGGGCTGCGGCAGGGCAGCAGGCGGATCTGGGTGCCCAGGGTGCTTGCAGACGCAGGGCAGCAGGCTGGAGACAGCCAGAAAGCAGCACGCACCCGGCACAGCAAGCGTCACCCCTGACTGGTGCGTCGTCGGTTGCGGCGCCCGCCTGCCTGCCCCGCTGCAGTGTGCCCCTTCATCCTGGGAAATGAGTTCTGCGAGCGCCTGGCCTTCTACGGGTGAGCTGCCGTGCCGGGTGCAGACCAGCGGGCAGCGGCCCTCGTGCCGCGCGGCAGCCGCCGCCGTGCCGCCACCTAGGGGCCCGCTGCGCGCCGCTGCTCTCGCGCCCTGCACCCTACCTATCCTGCCACCCATGCTGCTGTCCCTCCCGCTCGCAGACTGTCCACCAATCTCATCATCTACCTGACACGGGTCATGGGGGAGGACAACGGCTTTGCCGCCATCCAGGTGAGGTGTGCGGGGAGTGGGGTGCAGGGTGTGCGCACTGGCGCGCCGCTGCGGGGGAGCCTTCGCCCGCACCTCGCACCCACTGCCCTCCCCCCGCGTGCGCCACCTCCCAACCCCTGCCCGCTTGCGGCGCCTCCCAACCCCTGCCTGCCTTGCCCCTCCCCCCCTTCCCTGGCCCCTCCCGGCCCCCTCTGCAGCTCAACCTGTTTGAGGGGACGTGCTACCTGACGCCGCTGCTGGGCGCGTGGCTGGCGGACTCGATGTGGGGCCGCTACAAGACCATCATCGTCTTCTCGGTCATCTACTTCCTGGTGCGCTTATGTACATGTAAAGAATGTGATCAGCAATGCATACTAATCGGTAATGCATGACAACCAGCAATGCATAGTAATCATCGGTTATGCATGAGTTCTCATGCTGTGCTCTGGTTGTATAGAAGGGGGTGCGAAAGGAAAGCGCGCCTGCTGAGCCGCGCCGCGCCTGCTCGGCCGCCGGCCCCGCCGCCGCCAGGCACGCCCGCCAGCCAGCCACCCACCCCGCGCGCGCCCACTCCCCTCCCCCGCAGGGCATGGTGCTGCTGGCCGTGTCGGCGGCGCTGCCCGGCCTGACCCCCACACCAGACAAGTACGCCTCACCGCTGCAGAACGCCGTGCTGTACGGCTCTCTGTACATCATAGCCCTGGGTGAGGCGGTGGGGCGCAGCATGGATGGCGCGGCGGAGGCGGCGGCGGGCGCGCGGCTGCGCCGCGCAGCCATCGCCGGCCCGCCTTCCGGCCCGCCTTTGCGCCCCGCCACGTGCCCCGAGCCGCCGCGCCACCCCTCTGACGCCCTGCTGCTGCTTGTGGCAGAGGCCCTGCCGCTGCTCGGGGCACGCCCCGCTGCCCCCGCTGCCTGCCCGTCGCATCCCGGATGCCTGCCCCGCGGCCTGCCTCCCTACGCCGCCCGCCTCCCCCACGCCGCCCCTTCCCCCAGGTACCGGCGGCATCAAGCCGAACGTGTCTGCCTTTGGCGCGGACCAATTTGATGAGGCGGACCCTCAGGACCGGCGCGAGAAGACCTCCTTCTTCAACTGGTGGGCTGGGAACTGAATAAGAGAACAAATCTAGTTTAATTCAATACGGTTTTGACTGGAACCGAAACCTTGTCGGGGCCGCCTGGCGCGCCGCGCCTGCTCGCCGCGCTCTGCCCCTGCTGCCTGGCTTGCTGCTCTCCCTCGGGGCCACCCCCTTTCGACTGGCTGGGAAGGCGGGCTGCGTCAGCTGGCGTGGCGGCGCCGCCTCTGCCCCTCTGCCCTATCGTGTTGTGTTGTGTACCTCCTTCCTTCCAGCCCTGCCTGGCTACCTCCTTGCGCTCCCACGTTCTTGCCTCTCCACACCCTCCAACAGCACTTGCTGCCTGGCCTCCCTGCTGCCTGTGTGCCTGGCCCACCCTTCCCGCGTGCCCGCCCCCCCGCCCCCTGCCCGCAGGTTTTACTTCTTCGTCAACATCGGCTCGCTGCTGGCGGTGACGGTCATCGTGTGGGTGCAGGTGAGGCAGGCGGCGCTGTGATTAGCAGTAGGGTGCAGGGGCGCGGGGGCAGGAGCCAGAGCCTCCCGGGAGAGGCGGGAGGGCCGGGGCGTGGGCATGGCGGGATACAGTGACACAGGGGACGCGTCGCGGGGATACGGCGCGCAGGCCGGCGCGGGCCGGCCGCGCCCGCCCCGCCTGCCAGCCGGTCTCCACGCCGCGCGTGCCAGCCGTGTCCACGCCACGCGTGCCGCGCCCGCTGCTCCCGTACTGCGCAGGAGAACATCAGCTGGGCGGTCGGCTTTGCCGTTCCCGCCGCCGTCATGGCCTGCGCCATCCTCACCTTTGTGGCCGGCAGCCCGCTGTACACGCACGTGGCGCCGACAGAGAGGTGCGCCCACAGA